GCTGCTGCCACGCCACTATCCAACGCACGATCTATTCTCGCGTCCGCAGACAGCTCCGGGTGGTCGAGGATGGATCGGCACAGTGCAGGCAATGCCGTCTGCACGATTACGTCTGCAGTATCCCGACTGCGATGATACTTCTCAGCAATCTCTTTTAAATGTGGGATTGTCGATTCAATGCCTGCCAGATCAGTCGAGCTCAACGCAGCTTGTTTTTGTTCTCTTACAAACACACACCGTCTCGTCTCCTACGTGGACTATAGCTGAGCTGCGGGTTTGCATGATCTCCTCAGCTGACGGTTGTGCAGGAGGCGGCGGCGGCATGTCCACGTCGACAACACCCACATCTGGCGGCCCAGTCGTCTCTGAATCGGCTGCTGAGTCTTCGGACTCCTTGTCCTATTTTGTGGTTTTGGGGGAACATCTACACTGCGACAACCCGTCACATGAAGCCGCTGCTCAACCCATCAACTCACAAGCACAGCTGTAAGCATCATGATACGAAACACCATACACAGTATCGGACATGGTCGACAGTGGACAGCGTAGTCTAGTACTCGTCGACTCGACCAGACAGAGCACAACCGGTTGGTATTGGGATCATGTCTCGCAGTCACAGCCACACACACCCACAATTCTCAAGTAAGGCCCTCATGGGCTCAAGCTCGGCCCGCTTTCCCTCCTGACCTCTGGACGCTGGTCCGGAACGTTCAATACCTGGTGGCAGTGCTGAGCCAGTCGCTCGACGGCAGTTACTCGTTCCTGTTCCCCAACGGCATCAGCATCGCTGTCTGAATCCTCAATCTCCACGACCACCGGCGCTGCGATCGCGGGGGCCCTGCGTCGTTGCCGCGGTGGCTGTCTTTCCCGCACAGGCAAGGCTGCTCTGGGGTCATCCTGACGCTCTCCTGCAGGGATAGTACCACAGGGCCAGAGGTCATACCGGGGGTGGGGGGTGTGGTGGTTCGCGGCTCAAGCTTGAGCATGTGCGACGAGTGACGGGTTATAAGTATGAGTTAGTCTGCATAAATGAATGAATAAGATGAATGAACTATGAACTATGAACTATGAACTATGAACATGCAAGTAGGAAGTAGGAAGAAGTGTATGCTCTATGCCTGCTATGCTATATGCACTACTTGCAATACCACACGTAACGTAGGGCCTATTGGGTCTATTTGACTCATTGACCATTGTCAGATTGGTGACTACATAATGCACACAACAAATCTGCAGAGTCTTAATATTGCCAACTGCGAACTGCGAACATGCCTGCAAAGAAGGACTGCAATCCGGCGTAGAAGTCAACTTTCTTGTTGTTCGGGATTATGTACCACTCGTCGGCGACCTGAACGTAGACAGCGATAGGGTGCACTGCACGCACATGACACGCAGACGCAGACCTCATGCAAGGTTGATTAGATCGCAGCAACTGCATGCACACTTGCACACGCCACTCCCATGCAGCCTCCATGCAAAGTTAGCAAAGTTGATTAGATCGCAGCACACATGCATGTCGTCCGTAGAAGCAGAGAGACCGCAGCTCAATGGATATTAATATGATATTACTCTACTTTGGTCACCCGAATCCGAACTCAAATAGCACTTCCCCCCCTCCTCCCGAATCCGAACGCACTGGCACTTCCCCTCCCGACCTGGTCCGACCCGTATGCAGAGCTCTCCAGCATAGCATGTACAGTCTTATAGTAGTGCAAGCCTTGGGAGTGCGAGAACGCAGCCTTCGCTTCCAGCGCAATGATCTCGGCTGGCTTGTACATGAGGAGGTCGTAGTATACAGCAGATTGTATATCGTTCAGTCTCCTTTGCTCTGCATTTGCCTCACGTCCGCTGCCCGATGTCCAACCTGTGGACAGAAGACTCTGACGCTTGGCCCACGCTGTGGTGTGGCAACGCACACGAGCCGGCTTGGACAGTGTTGTGGAGGCAGTGACTGCCTTCTGTAGCAATGTTCGACCCCTGGTCAGCTCAGTTGTCTCCATCCAAGATGCAGCAGCCATCTCACTTGGCGTACGTGGGACGATTTGCATAGATTTGTCCGTGATTGCTTTTGATGCCAGCTCGTATGCGAGGGACCTCTTCTCTGGCAGTGGCGTGGTTTGTTTTGCTTGTTTTAAATGACATCATGACCGCCAGTACTTAACTAATTGACTACCTGACTCCCAACTCTCGACTGTCTCGTCTTATCTCGTTTCGATCAGGAACTGGTGAGGCCGTAAGTCATAGCACACTACGGACTACAGACTCCATTGCTGGTCCTACAGACCGGCAATGTAACAGTTGGTCTACTACAACTAGGCTCAACTAGGACTAAGACTAGAAGTGGCATAGTCTGGCATAGCATTAGACAAGTACATGCCGTGCCGAGCCGAGATGCAGGACATGTGCGTCCGACATGTCCGATGCTGCCGCCGCGTCCGCAACACCGGTCTCTGAGACTGCAGAAACAGTGTCGACCTGGCTTGGATTGCGTGCGAGGCGTGAGGTTATTTCCCAGTCCTAGAGTCCCAGAGTTGTTGTCATTCCGGACTCCGTACTGAAGGAGCCTGCATGAAGCGGAGTAGCGATTCGACGCTGTAGGTCTGGAAGAAGTCCACAATGCGGATAGGCTCCACCGTAGAGGCATCGAGTTCCAGCTGGAGACAAGTGTTCCCATCGATTGCCGCCTTGCACACTACCCGGACGGCTACCGCATCCTGCCACACCTTGCACAATCGGTGGGTTGTCTATAGAGTCAACGGTATACATTACAATACTAAGGGTCCGTGGAGTTCATACAAACTACATACTACGACTACTACTACAAACTACTACAAACATGCACGTTTACATTTTAAAGTTTAAAATGTAAAGTTTATAGTATAGTATACAGTTTGAAGTTTGAAGTTTGTAGTTTGTCGTAAGTTTGTAGTTTATAATTTATAATTTATAGTTTGAAGTTTGAAGTTTCGAGTGTTGAAGTTTGTTTGAAGAAGTACAAGAAGCAATGCAGACAGTGTAGACTCTGCATACAAGAATCATCCGATCCCATGTGGGCTGCTCGTTGCAGGTACATGCGCTGCCCTGGGTTCATGGATAGAAGCTGGAACACTAGGTGTTGATCAGCAGTCCCCGTCTCCGAAATTGCATAGTATGAGCCTGTCTCCCGCAGCACCTGGCGAACGTGGGCGTGTTGCAAATCAAAGTCCCGCGGCCTCATGTGGGACGCCGCCTCGGACTGTGAATTCTGCAGGTGTTTGCGGAACCTTGCAAAATACTCCGCCTGTTGGGACAGGTCTGCGTGGAGGCCTCGGTAGACCTGTCCCGTAATATTGCGGATGAGCTGGTCACGGTTTGCCCAGGGGAGTGTGGTCAAGGCGCCTATGCCACTCATGAGGTCCGGGAGCATCCGTTGGAAGGTGGGATCTTTCAGGTCCTTGTTCTGCATTCGCCGCAGCTCTGCGCTGACGGCAGGGACCGATGCTGCCCGGCCTCGCCCGACCTTGACTGAAACAAGGTGGTGTCGGGATTCCAGGCCCTGCAGCACGAGCAGGGAAGTGGCATAGGACAGCAGCTCCCGGCGGAGGTGGAGGCCCATACTACCTTCATTTCTACTTTCACACGGTTCACAATTCACAACGGGTCCACAATTCACAAGTCACAATTCACAACACAACTAACTTAACTGCGAGATGAGCACAGCTGATTCAGCTGACTAGCCACATGCTAGCACTTAGCAGTTAGTTAGCAGGGACAAGCCTTTAGCTGATTCGCAGCTATCAAACTCCACCTCACCTCACCACTCGCAACTCGCAACCCACTGCTATCAAGCGGCTACACCCAATGATTTAGCAATTCAAGTTCAAAGTTCAACGTTCAGAGCTCAGACGTGTTCAGTGGCCTCCAGCTGCAAAGGTTTCAAGATCAGACCGCAGCATTGACCCCCCGAGGATAAAGTTCATCTCCATGACGGACACTGAGCACGGTGGCGTGGGATTGGCGAGCAGTGCCGCCGCGGCTGCGCGGCTCCGTGCCAGTGATGGCTCACCCTGCGCTGCAAACAGACAGACTGACAGACACTGACACTGACAGACAGGCAAGCAGGCAATGTCAATGAACAACACTGATGCACTGATGCACACTGCACATTGCACACATGTCACATCGCATCAGGTGTGTCACCAGCTCGCAACTCAGAAACATGCAATGCTGACTTGCAATGACAGCCTCGTCCTGAAGGCACTCTGCGATGCACAAAATGTTCCACGGCCGCTGACTCCAAAATGAAAAGCTTTGGAGCAACCGAAGGTGCATGCGACCTTTTGATGCGTTGAATTGTGTGAGCAGCGTGTTTCCCATCGCAGGTGGCAAGCGCAGCATCGCTGTGTACGCCAAGGGTGTCACACCCACACCATTAAGTCGAGCAGCAAAATCGGTGGCCTTCCCCATAGCCATCTCAATGGCTCTACGCCCCTTCAGGGGGCATGGCGGAAGGTTGCGACTGCGCTGCGAGGGACAGTCCTTGCATGGGCATGCGTGGAGCCAAGAGGTCACCGAGTGTCCCCACTCTGCCAGTGGCAAGATGGCGTTGCCATGGACCAGAACAGGTCAGCGCGCTCCTGGTGGTCGTGGTTTTCCGCTCGGCCTGCAACAGATGCTATGTGGCAGGATCCACCTCTCAACTCTCAACAGTCAACACTTCAACGTCAAAACTCAAAGCATCAAAGGCCAAAGCACAACCGCGTGCCGCGTGTGGCGTGTTTGGCAGACAGCACTTAACTTAGAACTTAGCACTTAGCTCAGCTCGTTGAGAGCCTGATAGGATGCTATGCAACTTTGGAAACTTTGGGTTATTGGGTTTTTAGCTTGCGACCATGCCCAGGAAATCAACAGTCAATGCTTCAAACTTCAAACGCTCAAGGGTCAGAGTCAGAGCACAACCGCATGTTTGGCACTCGGCACTAACTTATCAGCTTAGCACGCCGAATGCCTCTTAGTGTGTCTTAGGATGCTTGGAATTTGTAGCCTGCGACCATGCCCAGAAACTTGATCTCGTCGGCATCAAGATCATGGGACACCTCGAGGTCCGTTGTGTCCAAGGCTCGAATGGGCTCTTGTCGAGGCACCACCCAGCAAAGGACATCTCGCCTGTGAGCATCGGACAGACAGCGGAGCGCATCATGGATTGGACGAGTAACATACCGAGAGCAACATCAATTCCATCTTCATTTTCTGTGATGTATTGACTCTTGACTCAGTACTAAGTACTGACTCCTGACTAGCAACTACTCAAAATACTGAATATTGAAGAAACGTACCCTAATCATCCTGGACTTGAATGAGTGGCAGATACTCCCATCGATGTTCGACCAACGTCGGACAGGCGGTGGTGAACATGGCCCCGAAGGAGTCCCGCAGCCGTGCCGAGGCGAACTTGGGGTTGCGGTCGATGCACGTGGCACGGAACCTGTGCAGGCGGGACCATGTCCTGAAGAATTTGGATATGGCATTGAGGCAGTGATGGAAAAAATGCCAGTCTGTGAACGATAGCTTCATTTCCAACATGGTGTGATGCATTGCGTGGTCTGCATCACCCAGTGGCATGGCCCGTTGGCACATACGCGAGATGCTCTCGAATTCTTCCTGTGCGTCTGCCTCGCCTTTGTTTTGAATGCCACCTGGTAAAACCAAATCCAAAGGTTGGTAAGTTTGTCTTTCCGGCAGGACTTGCCGTGTAGACCTTGTGTGGACCACGGCGGATGCTGTGCCTGGTTGGGGAGTGACAAGACTGTTCGGTTGTGGAGACACGAACAGCTTGGATTCTGTCCCCATGTCAAAGGCAATGGAGTAAGTACGTCCCAACGTGATGTGGGTGTCCGCCGTGTCCGCCGACAATGCCAGCATCAGGCGGAAGCTCTTGTGCTCCGCCGACGCGGCACGGCTGCCGATCAATTGTAGCGGTAGGATTCGCCTTCGAATCAGTCCCGCCATGTCGGACAATACGGTATGATCCGCGACATCGGCCAGGTTGACGTGGTCCACCTCTGTGACGAAGTAGTCCTTGCCGTACTGTGGACTAGAGTCGGCTCGGATATGGCATGCCCACAGGTCCTTTGGATGGAACACACGGAGTCTGCTGTAAAGCATTGAGCAGACATCCAGGTAAAGCCTATGTCTGTAGATAGTGACCTCGGAGGGTATTTTCCAGTGCGAGAGTTGTGACCGGAGACATTCGGATAGGTCCTGGGACAGGACAATCTTCATGCCCTGGTCAATCGCCTCTTTCAAGCAAGACAAATCCTTCAGATTGTCGCAGAGGAGGACTGTGTTGAGGATTGTTTGTGGCAGGTATCCCGACCCTCCAACCTCATCCCGACTGCGTGTGGTCGTGTTCAGCCTGAGTGCCTTTTGCATCTTGTGTGTCAGGTCTAACACTTGCTGCTGCTGCTGCACTCCGCTCGGATCCCTGCTGGTGAACAGCGTGTGGGTGTGTATGTCCTGCAGGATGCTGCTAAGTGTGCAGGCTGTGTTGTCGGGCAGCAGAATCGGCTGCAGGGGTGCAGGCATGGGAGTGAAGGGTACTGTCTTGTCTGACGCTTGCACAGCCCCACCAGGCGCCAGAACCGCCACCCTAACCTCAGGGTAGTGAATGGCGGTTCTGACCTGACGCTGTACCTGAGCCAGTGACAGTACCACGTCCCTCCGCCATGCATCCTGGAACGACAACCCACCGGATGCCGTAAGGGCTTCGAAGGACTCGGCGTCCACGCCTGGCAGGCGTTCCATATGCCGACGGCCGCGCATGTCCAGTTTGCTTTTGATGTGGACCGTCAT